TTGTGGGGTAGAAAGATTGACTTGAAAGACAATGGGGAAAAAATCTTACAGCTTTATCACCCTGGACTGCATTTATAGATCTCAATTAATAGACAATAACAGGATATGATACTTAATATATGCAAAAGGAAATACGGATATTTTCTTGCCCTGGTCCCCAAGATGATAAAGAAAGCAATGAACTGTCCATCAGAGAAGTGAGAAGGCCTCATGAATTTAACAGACACATGATTAATGACTGAAAGAATGTATTTTGGGGGGAAGCTGGGCAGAGTAGAGTGTGCAGACACCCTGCCCACTCCACTAGGCAGCTGATGGGAACCATGCACTCCTCCCTGCCCTAAGAACATTTCCCTTCAGTGTTCAGCCTCTCCTTTCCATTATCATCCTCCCCAACAGCTGTCCCTGTATTTTTGGGGAAGGGAAAGGAGGATGCCAGTAGGAAAAAAATGGGAAACAACACTAAGCAGTTCCCCTCCAACAAGAAAGGGATAAAGAAAGCCCATCAGTAGAGCAAGGAGAAAGTTCTAGAACAGCGGTTCTGAACGTGCTCAACTTCCACGACAGTTAAAATTGCTGCTTGACACTCTGAGACCAACATGGTTTTGTCCACCTGAGTCATAGTGTTTACATTTTGACCCCAGCTAAACTTCTTCTCTTCTATGTTCTTCTCATAGAAAAATGTCCCCTTATCATTATGTTTATGTCCCTTTCTCTTTTATAGTTTCGTTTTTTTCTTTCTTTCCTCCCCTTTTTCTCTCTGCAACCAGTCTCTGTCTTCTATATTCCTTTTCTTAGCTCTCTGCCTTACACCAGTCACCAGGACCCCAAGTCCACTGCCCAACAGTATTCAAAGCTATTTTTAAGAGGAACCAATTACTGCCCCACTCGCTGTGCAAATATTTTAATGCACTCAGAACTTTACAGAGTAACTCATTTAATCTTCACAACAACCCTGCCAGCAGATTCCATATTTAAGGTGGTCCTGAAGAGCAGAGCAAACAGGAATTCACTCAAAGTCATACAAGTGATTATGTCTCAGAGTCAGGATTTGAAGCTACATGCTCCAAGATACAAGATTCCGAGCCCATCCACTTTCTTCAGAGTCTAAGAAATATTTGTCCTCCAATCTTTGCTGTCCCCTCCTATTCTTCATTTATTACATGAGCCAATGCTCTTCATGAGTCAGTGGTTATAGATAAGAACAAGGAGCAATTTCACACAACACTGTACCTAGATTATCACCTAAAAATAGCTGTAACAGTGGCAAACCCAGTTTTTAACTTTTCTTTAATCAAACATCCCTTGAGACTGAGGATAGGCTGGAGCTCATGCTGAAGTCAGAGAATTGCCAGAACTCCCACATTTTTGTTAGATACAATTTTAAAATTATCTTTTAGTATTTACTTCGTGCTAAGCATACAACTAGTAGCTTTCCATATTTACCTCATTTGACTTTTGCAGCACCCAGCATGACTAATTTTATTAACTCCATTTTATAGATGAGGAAACTGAAGCTCAGGGACTTAAAATACTTTCTCATGGAATCACAGGCAGTAAATTCAAACTCAGATCTATCTGATTCTAAAGCTTAGGCTCTTTCTACTCCTTGTAATTATCGTATTTCACCAATATGTTAAACTCTCCTCCCAGCATGTGGCTTGGAGTCAATGGATTTTTGTTTCACTTTGATATAAATCTTTTTGGATTCAGTTTGTCACCTCAGGCAGAAAATTGCCCACATAGAGATGATGCATTGTCCCCTGAATGAGTTTCCTAAATCAAAAAACAAAATCAACACATCTGTTTTTATTTTGCTTGAATGTCTGTGCTTCTTTTAAAGTTTTTCCGAATGGTACTAAATGACAAGGGTTTAAAAATAGCATTTTGCAAGCTAGTCTGGTGAGTGATCTATCTACAAACTTTGGTTCCTCTGCTGCTGTTTATTTGTTTGTTTGTTTCTAAGAAATAGTGAAATAACTCAGCTTTTTTTTTTTTTTTGTACCAGGGATTGAACTCATGACCTTGCACTTGCCAGGCAGGTGCTTATGCTGCTGAGCTAAACCTCCAGCCCAATAGCTCAGCTTTTAAGCCTAATATCAACTATGGATTTTAGGTGGCAATGATGTGGCAATGCACCACTCTGTTGCAGGGTGCTGATACTGGGGAGCCACAGATGTGGGAGGACAGTGTTAAATGGGTAATCTCTGAACCACCACTCAGTTTTGCTGTGAATCAAAAATGCTCTAAAGTACAAAATTATTCAAAATAATTATAATAAGGCATACATAAAACTATGTATACACCTGTGTATACTGAATAATCAAATGAGACACCTAGGTTATAGCTTGAATTTCCTCTGCTCATAGATGAGGTCTTGAGCAGGCCTATACCTTACTGTCTTAGTTAATTTTTGCTCATTGCTGAGACAAAATCGCCAACACCCAAAGTTAAAGGGGAAAAAGTTCAGTTAGCTCATAGTTGTAGATGTTTCAGTTCATAGCTGGCTGACTCCCAGAGTGGTACATGGCAAAGGGCGTCACAGAAGATTACAGTTCGTGGTGTCCCCAAGGTAGCAAAAGCAACAAAGGACCTTAACAGCATCTTTCTGTCCCTTTTATCTTATCCAGACTACTGGAATTAGGGCAGCGCCAAGCCAGTCAATGCCAGTGATTTAACAACCACACACTCTTAATCGCAGCACCACGAACTCTAGATCAGCCACCTCTGAAAAATCTGCACCTATGACTGAGTGAAGCTTTGGGGGGACATCTAGAAACAAGCCATAATACTTAGCTACAAATTCAGGTTTTTAAAAAAACTGTCCAGTCGCTTCTAGTCACAAAGATAATCTTCTTTCAGTAGATGTTTGGTGCGGTGAAACAGGCTCAGCTCCAGATTATCTGAAGTTATTTCTCCCCTGAGTCTGCTCAGATCGGAAGGGAGCCGCGTGGGAAAAAGTATCGTCACTGTTTTCTGTGTTTGCCCATCTAATGTTCCCACTCTTCCTCTTGCTCAGTGGACTCTGCTCTCCAGCATTGAAGAGCAGAAGGAAAGACAGTAAGGGTCAGGGACAGCTCTTACTCAAGGCGCACTGTTTTGTTTTGGCCTTGGTGTCACTGGTCTCTCCACCAGAGACCTCAAACACGCCACTTCTCACCTCCCTTTTTGTGCACTTACCACCGCCACCAACGGTGTTTCTGGCGGGCTATTGCAGAGATCCTCATTTTTAGGATCTTAAAACCATTTCAGTTTCCCCCTGGAGTAGAGCCTCTAGCATCACTCCAGGCTATGCTTCCCACTGAATCTACTAGAAATCAGTATCGTTTACTCCTCCAGACTAGAAGTACAGGCCACCCTCCTGGGGCTCAGTTTTCTTTGCACTATCATCAGATCAGCTGGCACCATAGTCCTGGGCTTTAGATTTTTCTACAGCCTCTAAACTCCACTGTCTCCAGAGCTATCATACATAGCCCTCGAGTCTTCTCTTCTACAAGACCAATAGCCTTGGTTGCTTTAATAATTCTTTGTGTGATGTGCATTTTTTCTTGGGATGTACATTCAAGGCAGTAGTAATTGTTGTGTAATGGAGCCAATCTAAAACTTAAGATTGTTTGGTCATTTTTTTCTTGTCTAAATCTTATAATTTGAACAACTACTTCTAAGATAATAATATGCAATGTATTAACTAGTGTTAATTTCCTACCATTTTTGAAATTCTGTATCACTTATATCCTTTTCTTTTTTTGGTTTGTTGTTTTTAAAGTCAAAAAATTAAAAAACAGTTGTGGCGCTTATAGTGGTTGATTGATTACGTCAACTTGAAACATTTAGAAGCTTAACTGAATGGGTTTAGCAACTCTGCAACCAAGAGTGTAGAAGAAGACCCACCCTAGGGTGGTTGGTCACCTGGAGGTATAAAAGGGGAGGAGGAAGGACGGATGGATGCCTGTCTTGGAAGAAGCTCCAGTCTTCATCTTTGGTTTGGACGTTGTCTCCTGGGGTCCAGGGTAGACTCTTCAGCCTTGCATCACAGAGCCTTCAGCCTTCTGTCACAGATCCATCAGACCTTGCACAAGACCCTAGGGTGAGCTCCAGACCATGGATTGAATCCTTCAGCCTCCAGTGCGTAGACACCCTCTGCATGCTTCCTCATCGGACTCTGTGGCTGACCATCATAAGCCAATCTTGTTGTTTCTTTTACATCTGTATATCTCGTGTTACATCTGTTCTCTCTATTAAAACCCTGACCAATACAGCCCTGGAGAAGGTAGCTCCATAGTACAGCATTTGCCCAGCATGGTGTGCATGAGATGGGTGAGGCTGGGGTAATCCTCAGTACCACAGAAAGAAAAAGGTTATAACTCACAAGTCTACAGGTCAAGCAGATGGTTCTGCTGGTCTAGGCCAAGCTTAGTAGACCTCAGCTGGATTTATATTTGCGTTTTCAGCCAAGTGTCAGGCAGCTGAGAGCTGGCTGATCTGATACTCTGCCCTCATGTGTGACAGTGGGCTGACTCTTGACTGAGGCGGCAGGCAAAGTTATATGTTTCTCATCATTCAACAGCAAGCACATGCTTCTTCACATGGCGGAGGCAAGATTCCAAGAAACACGCAACGACTCATGAGCACAGACGTTAGAGCATCATCTCTGCCATGTGCTACACAGGCCAACGCAAATCGTAAGACTCCATTCATAGGATGGAGAAATAGACTTTACTTCTTATGGATAGAGCTGCATGATCAAATTGAAAAATATATGGAAACAGGGAAAAGATGAGACTTTGAAGACATTTTTGCAATAAATCTACCACACAGGCACCTCCCTCACTGCTGTCTTTATAATAAACTATGGCTCATGCTAGTTCTACTTAGTCATGCCTACAGTGGACATTCATGTCCCAGCCCATGGGTAAGTCCACATAGACGCTAGGGGAGGAAGTGAGGATGAGAGGGGACAAGAGATGCGAAGAATGGAGACAAGACAGAAGTCCGATCAAGTCTCGTTTATTCAAAGAAAGAGTATCAAATATACAGGGTATTGGGGGAGTGGGAAGTTGGGTTCTGAGACATCAGCAGGTAACTTAGCAACAGTGGCAAGACTGAGGGTTATAGGTTAATTCAAATTTTCAAATTTCCCACATGCAGGCTGATTAACATAATCCTTGAATGGGCCAAACAAGCTAGGCAAGGAGCTGCTTAACTACCAAACTTAACTCCTAGAGGAGGTTAAGGTGGTGCTGCCTGCAGATACAAGGTGGCAGCCAATTACAGGGCTTCCCACACATTCACACATAAGAAAAAGCACCAGAATGTTTTAACTAACATTGATATTAACAATGACTAGTTTTCTTCTTTCTTTGCTGCCAAGTGACCTGAACTCAAGTAGCAGATTTTATTATTATTATTATTATTCATAAACCAAAGCCTTACGTATATCCCTGCCAAATTTTATCATGTTTAGGCTTACCCCATCATCCCCAAGAATCTTTCAGATGCTTCTGCCTGAGAATACAATCCAGGCTGTTTTCTCCGGAACATCTGAGTCCAATCAAAACTGAAAGTTATTGGTCAAGTCAACAGTTCACTCTGCTATTTGAGGAGCCTTCGACCTGGGTCAGCTCAGAAAGGAAGTAGAGTCAGGAGCTGTGGCCTCTGTACTGTGGGACAGGAGAAGATGGTTCCTGTTACACAGACCTCCTTATGCAGGGAAGCTGTAAGAGCAGATACAGACGCGTGGTACTGAGTCAATCCTGCAGCCCCCCGAAGATTGAAACCTGAAACAATTCAGAAAGGGATGCAAAAAGAAATCAAAGAGTATGACAGTCAAAGAATAAATCAAAAGGGAGAATCCAGGAAAAAAAAAAAAGAGTGGCGAATTTTCTTTTTGTAGAGGAGAAAAAAACATGTTGGGACATGAGAAAAGGGAAAGGAAATAGGACAAATCCCCGATGCATTTTCTGCCCGTTCTTTGGACTGCAACAGCTATTGCCTATCTGGCAGGACACTTAAAAGGCTTCCTTCTTTATAGTACCAGCAGGGAGAGATTTAAATGGTAAGACTCACTGATCAACTGAGTGCCTGGGCAGTAGTTTGAAGCTTCTGGGGATCCATTTTTATCTCTTTTCCAAGAGGACCGGTTACTTTTCTATCATCATAAAAACACAGCGTAAGGACCAATGGTCCACACCATACCTACCTGAAGTGGCTCTTCACAGAGCTCTTTCTCGAGTGAAACAAACCAAGGCCATTGGCTTGGATCTCTGTGGTTTCTCCTGTGGATGAAAAACAAGTTAACATTACATCAGCTATTTTAGAAGCTGCCTCCGAATGAGTTTTCCTCGTGGAATCACTGGCATTTCCCCATGTGGGAACCACAACTCTCCTATGTTATACATGAGCTGCTTTTCCTTCAAGCCTCTTTGTCAACAGGTTTCCAGACCAGAGAAAATTTAGACTCATGCACAAATTGAACAGTTATGAAACAAAGATACAAAAGAAGGATTAAAGAATTGCAGCAAAGATCCCAAGTGCAAAATTCATGCCACAGAGACAGAACAGAATGGGATGATCTGAAAAATTATAGAGAGACTTGAAATCTTGGTGTAGTCAGGGCTCCTTGAAGAAATGGCTGATTCTAGAAATAGGAAGAAATAGGAAGAAACTATACAAGATGAGCCTGAAGTTTCTTAGTGTCAGCAAATGAAAAACGGTAAATCACAGCCACCACAGAGGATGGAGATATGTCAAAGGTACACCGAGCCAACCGACAAAGTTCCAGATGACAAAAGGTAGAGCAATTTGTGCCATCAAAATTAATAAAGTATTTAAACTCACCATGCTAAATAAATACTTGTGAATATGTACTGATATAAATAAATAAATATCTATAGGTCCATATGGATATAAATAAATGAAAGAGAATAGACAAATCTCCCTTGCCAAAGAATTCTAAAAAATTTATGAAGATCTCTTGAACTCAAGGAAGTGGTAGGGTAACTTTCCACTCTTCAAGCGTGGGCTGCGTATAGTGAGTTCCTTCCAAAAAGTACAGTATTGCAGGAAGTGGAGAAAGGAACTTTGCGGTGGCAAGAGCTGACCTATACGATTTCAGCCAGATGACCAAAGGTCAGTGTCCACAGTGAAGAGTCTGGCTGACAATATGCACCCTCAATGTGATGCAATAGAAATAGCATTTTACCTCTGGGATCTTCTCCCCAAAACACATTACCCTGTTTAATCATGAGAAGAACATCAGATGACTCTCAGCTGAAGGACATTCTAGAAAATATCTGACTAGTAAGCCTCAAAACGACATTCTACAAAATGTCTAACTAGTAAGCAAAACAACAACAACAACAACAACAAAAGTCTGAGACACTGTCTAAGCACCTTAAATATTAAATGTAACATAATAGATAAAAACTAAGGAAATGGGGCTGGGGATTTAGCTCAGCAGCATAAGCGCCTGCCTTACAAGTAGGCAGTCGTGAGTTCGATCCCCGGTACCGATAAAAAGGAAAAACACACACACACACACAAAAAAAAAAAAAAAAAAAAAAAAAAAAACTAAGGAAATCTGGATAGAGTAGCCATGTATCAATAGCAGTTGTAAAAATATATCATACTAATAATTACAGGAACTAGGATGAGAGGTGTATTGAAACACTCTGTACTACCCTATAATTTTTCTGTAAATCTAAAACTGCCCTAAAAAGTGAAGTGCATTTTTAAAGGGGATCATACACAATGATCAAGCAGAATTTTTCCCAGGAATGCAAGACTGGACAGTGTCTCTCATATGCTAAAGAAGAAATATGATACAATTCTTTCAATAGATGCATGTAAAAGTTTTGAGAAAATTTAACACTCGTCCATGGTTTTTTTAATCCTCAAAAAGCTAGAACAAAGAGAAATTCCTCCACTTGTTAGAGAACATCTCTAAAAAAACCTCACAGGTAATGTTAAACAAGGTCGAAAGACTGAGTCCTTTCCTTTAAAAACAGAAATAAAAGCAAAGATATCCATTTTCACCACACTTATTCAGCACTGTACTGCAATCCATGTCCAGCACAGTAAAACAAGGAAAAGAAATAAGTGTACAAAGAAATTAAACCATTTCTATTGGCATAAGATATATTGTCTGTGTAAAATGTCTCAAAGACTCTCGAGAAAACTATAATTAATAACCCAAGTATAGCCAAATTGCAAGATTCAAGGTGAACATGTAAACATTAGTTGTATTTCTGTACATTCACAATGAATAAATTGAACTGGATAAACCAAATGGTAACTGGCAATATTTACAGCAGCTTCAAGAAGTGCTTAATACTTAGATAAAAATCCAACAGAATGCAGGAAAGACCTATACACTAAAAATACAAACCACTGAAGAATGAAGTCAAAGGCTTACCTAAGTGGAGATACGGTGTTCATAGATCAAAAGACTCAGTACTATTAAAATACCAGTTCTCTTTAAATTGATCTCTAGATTTGATAAAATCTCAATCAAAATTTCAGATAGGTATTTTTGTAGAAATTGTCAAGCTTAGGCCAGGGATTTAGCTCAGTGGTATAAGCGCCTGCCTGGCAAGCACAAGGCCATGAGTTCAAACCTCAATATGGAAAAAAAAATTGTCAAGCTGTTTCTAAAATGCATATGATAATGCAAAGGACCTAGAATTTGCCAAACAATTTTGTAAAAGAACAAAGCTGGAGAATTCTAACTTCTAGTTTCAAAACTTGAACCAAGAAAGTGTGGCATTGATGGAATGATAGGTAGAGAGTTCGGGATAGAAATAAGTACAGAAACAGACAATACACAAATAGTCTAGTTATTTTTGATAAATATGCAAGAATAATTCAATGGGGAAAAATCATCATCTTAACAAATTCTGTTAGAACTTTGGAAATTCATATTAACAACAGTGAACACTGACACGTAAACTGTATTGCACACACAAAAAAACACCTAATTCATAGTAGCTCAGAGACCCAGATGTAAAGCTTCAATTACAGAGCTTCTAGAAACACATGAAACTTTTGTGAAACTGAGTAAGGCAAAGATTTCTTAGTTATAACACCAAAAGTATATCCCATAAAAAGTAGCTGATTGAATTTCATCAAAACAAAATGTTTTCTCCTTAAAGCAACATTAAGAAAAAAAGAAGAGTAATAAATATTTTCAAGACATTTATCTGATAAAGGACTGATTTTCAGATTTATAAAGAATACTCAAAGTTTAGGTGGAAACTATTGTCAATTTCTTATTGTCTTATCTTGAACTCTTGCATTGTTTATACAACTTTGATAGGTTTGGCTTTGTGCTGTCTTGTTTTGTTAGATTTTATACTGTCAGATGGTAGGGGCAGCTATTTTGAATATAATGGGATATATTATGGTAATCTTGGTTTAGTATTATATTGCTTTGAAGTCTTATAATGCTTTCATTCATTTTTTGATTTGTTTTATTCTGTTTTGTTTGATTTTATTATGTGAGATGGTATGAACAGCTATTTTGAAGAAAACAAGACATTATGGTAGCCATTGCTGATTTACTATCATCTTGTTTTGAAGTCCTACCATGTTTTTGTTCTTCTGTTTTGATTGGTTCTATACTGTTGTGGTTTGATTTTGTTATGTGTGATGGTATCGACAAATTTTTTGAGGAAAATGAGATAATATAGTAGCCATTGTTCATTTCCTGTTATTTGGTTTTTGAAGTCCTGTAATGCTTTCACTCTTTTGAGTGGTTTTATATTATTTTGTTATGTTTGATACTACTGTATGTGAAGGTATGGTCAACTATTTCAAAGAAAAGAGACATTATGGTAGCTACTGTTAATATCTGGTTGTCTTGTGAAGTGTTGTGTAGCTTGCATTGTTCTGTTCTGATTTGCTTTGTTCTGTTCTCTTTTGTTTTATTCTCTTTAAAATTAAAAATTAAAATAAATAAGAATACTCAAAGTTCATAAGTAAGACTATAGCATGTCATGTAAATATTTTAAATATAAATCTGTTTACCACATGAAAAGACTATGGGAAGAAAAAGACAGAAGTTAAAGAGATTGGCTAACTATAGAGATGGATGGGAAAGGAATGAGACAGGAAGGATCAGGAAGAGTAGCTGGGATGAGACGAAAGGGACATTTCTCTGAACTGTATTTTTCAGAGCTCTGACGCTTAGAACTCTAGTTATGTCACATACCCTTCATGTATCTTCAAAATCTAAACAAACCATTAAAAGTAGCATATGAGGAAGCCTAGATGGAACACTACAAACTGAAAAATGAACCACGCTACATTACAAATAAATAGCAGCCTCACAGACAGGATGATGAGGGAGGAAGGTGTAGGGTGATGGAGAAAAGAATTCATCTAAGTGACCATGAACACCATTATCTTGACTGGATACTATTAAGTTGAAGAGAAAACAGGGAACAAAAATGCTTTGTTACAGTTACTGTATGCTCCTTGCAACAATAATCCTTAGCTATTCAGGACCACTTAAATATCACATGGCTTCTCTTATATGAGAAACCCAAAATATGAATAAAAGATGGAGAATAAGAAACAGGGAGGTAGATCTTTTGCAAATGGGAAGGTAACCAAGAGATGGAGTAAGGGAGAGGGAGAAAGGAGAAAGGAAAAGAATTAAAAGGCATTATGTACATGTATCAACTCCCCATGATGAATGTAAATATCATGTCCTACAAACGTGTAGTGATATTGACTTTGTGTCCAGCTACGTGACTGAATTTGGTTATTAAACCAACTACCAATCAACCTTGGTGGAGTTCTGGGGGTCTTCTATGCAGAGTGGCATGTCATTCACAAATAATAATTTTACTTCTTCCTTTCCTATCTTTATTTCTTTCTCTTGTTTATGTTCTGGGTAGTATTTCCAGACCTCTGTTGCATAGTAATGAAGATGGTGGACATCCATACCTTGTTCCTGGTTTTAGAGTGAAACTTTTACTTAGGGTGATGTTTATCATACTAAATGAACACATTTAGTATGATGTTGACAGTTGGTTTCTCATAGATGGCTTTTATGGGATGGAGATAAAGACCATCTATTACAATTTTCTATAAGGTTTTTATCATATAATGGGTGGTGAATTTTGTCCAATGCTTTTTGTACATCTATTGAGATGATCATGGGACTTCTGTCCTTGGCTCTGTTGATACAGTGTATTGCATTTATTGATTTGCATATATTGAACCATCCTTGCATCCCTGTGGTGCATCCTACTTGAGCATGGTGTACAATCCT